TGAGGATCGAACCCGGGCCGCACGCATGCCAGGCGAGCGCGCTACCGCTTGAGCCGCATCCCCAGCCCCTGTATTCTTGATAATTGCATTCTGACTGAGTGAGATAGAATCTCAGTGTATTTTTTTTTTGCGGGGGTAGGGGAGGGTGAGGTGGGTGCCAGGGATTGAACTCAGGGGCACTTAAACACTGAGCTTCATCCCCTGCTCTTTATCTTTTGTATTTTAATTAGAAACAGGGTCTCATTGAGTTGCTTAGCACCTTGCTGTTACCAAGGCTGTCTTTGAACTCATGATCCTCCTGCCTCAGCCTCCCGAGCTGCTGCAATTACATGCATAAACTCCATGCCTGGCTCAGTGTAGTTTTGATTTGCATTTCTTTAATTGCTAGAGATGTTGAACAGTTTTTCATATATTTGTTGATTGATTGTAGTTTTTTTTCTGTAAAGGGTCTGTTCAGTTCCTTAGCCCATTTATTGGTTAGATTATTATTATTTTTTTGGTGTTTAGATTTTTGAGTTCTTTATATATCCTATATATATGCTCTATCTAAGTTGCATGTGGTAGAGATCTTCTTCCATTCTGTAAGCTCTCTCCTCACGTTATTGATTGTTTTCTCTGAATTCTTATTTTTCCAAATGAATTTATTGATTCTTTATTTTACTTCTTGTGCTTTAGGAATCTTGTTAACAATGTTGAAACGGTGAAAATTTGGGCCTACTTTTTCTTCTCTTAGGTGAAGAGTCTCTGTTGTAGGGCCTAAGTACATGATCCACTTTGAGTTGAGTTTTGTGCAGGGTGAGAGGGTTTAATTTCATTTTGCTACATATGGTTTTCCAATTTTCCCAGCACATTTTGTTGAATAAGCTATTTTTCTTTCTTTCTTTCTTTCTTTCTTTCTTTCTTTCTTTCTTTCTTTCTTTCTTTCTTTCTTTCTTTCTTTCTTTCTTTCTTTCTTTCTTTTTGTGGTGCTGGACTGAACTCAGGGCCTTGTGCATGTGAAGCAAGCACTCTACCAACTGAGCTGTATCCCCAGTGAAAAGGCTATTTTTTCTCCAATGTATGTTTTTGGCACCTTTGTCTAGTATGAGATAAATGTATTTATGTGGGTTTATCTCTGTATCTTCTATTCTGTACCACTGGTCTATGTATCAGTTTTGGTGCCAATACCATGCCATTTTTGTTACTATGGCTCTATAGTATAATGTAAGGTCTGGTATTGTGATACCTCCTTCTTCATTGTTCTTGTTAAGGATTGCTTTGGCTATTCTGGGTCTCTTATTTTTCCAAATGAATTTCACAATTGCTTTTTCTAGTTCTATGAAGAATGTCATTGGGATTTTAATAGGACCTGATTAAATCTGCATAACTCTTTTGGCAGTATGGCCATTTTGGCAATGTTAATTCTGCCTATCCAAGAGCATGGGAGATCTTTCCATCTTCTAAGGTCTTCTTCAATTCTTTCTTTAGTGTTATGTAGTTTTCATTATAGAGGTCTTTTGCCTCTTTTATTAAGTCGTTTCCCAAATATTTTTTTGAGGCTATTGTTAATGGGGTAGTTTTCCTAATTTCCCTTTCAGAGGTTCATTACTGATGTATTAAAATGTATATGATTTATGGATGTTGATTTTATATGCTGCTACTTTGCCGAATTCATTTATTAAATCTAGAATTTTTCTGGTGGAATTTTTTTTTGATTCTCTAAATATAGAATCATGTCATTGGAAAATAGTGATATTTTGAGTTATTTGTTTTCTATTTTTATCCTTTATTTTTTTCTTCTGTCTAATCACTATGGCTAGAGTTTCAAGGACTATGTTGAATAGAAGTGGTGTAAGAGGCCATTCTTGTTTTGTTCCACTTATTAGTGGGAATTATTCTAATTTTTGTCCATTTAGAATATGTTGGCCTGGGGCTTAGCATAGATAACTTTTACAATGTTGAGGTATATTCCTACTATCCCTAGTTTTTCTAGTGTTTTGAACATGAAGGGGTGCTATATTTTGTCAAATGCCTTTTATGCATCTATTGAGATAATCATGATTCTTATCTTTTTTTTCTGGCTTCAAAATACTTCAGAGTGGCAATTTTTTTTGAGCCTAAAAACATTTCTATTATTAAGGACAATTATTTTAACAACTACATAAGATTTTCTTTTCTTTTTAAAATTTGTTCTAATTAGCAGAAGGCTATTTTGATTCATTGTACACAAATGGAGCACAACTTCATTTTTCTGGTTGTTCACAATGTAGAGTTGCACCACATGTACAGTCAAACATGTATCTAGGATAAAGATGTTTATCTCATTTCTCCATCTATCCTATCTCATGACCCTTCCCCTTCCCACCCTCCCCTTTGCCCAATCAAAGTTTCTCCATGCCTCTCATCCCCCCAATTTTGGGTCAGCATCCACTTATCAGAACATTCAGCTTTTGATTTTTTTTGGGATTGGCTTACTTCGTTTAGCATGATATTATCCAACTCTATCCATTTACTTGCAAATGCCATAATTTTATTCTCATTTTTTGCTGAGTAATAGTCCATTGTGTATAGGTACCACATTTTTTTTTAATCCACTCAACTACTTAAGGGCATCTGGGTTGGTTCCATAATTTAGCTATTGTGAATTGTGCTGCTATAACCATTGGTATGACTGTGTTCCCTGTATTATGTTGTTTTTAAGTTCTTTGTGTATAGATGGAGGAGAGGGATAGCTGGGTCAAATGGTGTTTTCATTCCAAGTTTTCCAAGGAATCTCCATACTACTTTCCAGATTGGTTTCACCAATTATCAGTCCCACCAGCAATGTATAAGTGTACCTTTTATCCCACATCTTTGCCAACACTTTGTTGTTTGTATTATTGATAATTCCCATTTTGACTGGTGTGAGATAAAATATTAGAGTAGTTTTGATTTGTATTTCTTTAATTACTAGAGATGTTGAACATTTTTTCATATATTTGTTGATTGTATATCTTCTTCTGAGAAGTATCTGTTCAGCTTGATTTTATCTTTGAGTCTACTGACATGAAGAATTATGTTTATTGAATTCTGTATGTTGAAGCAACCTTGCATCCCTGGGATGAACCCCACTTGATTATGGTACACTATCTTTTTTGCATGCAATTTGCCAGAATTTTATTGAACATTTTTGCATGTATGTTTATCAGGGATATTGGTCTGAAGTTTTCTTGAAAATATTGTGCATTCCTTTGGTTTGTATCTTTGTGCATTCCTTTGGTTTGTATCTTTGTGCATTCCTCTATCCCTATAAATCTTAAATTGGGTCTTTTCATGTTATCCCATAATTCTTGGAGTTTCTTACCATATTTATTGTGTGGTCAACTTTATTTTTGAAATTATATATTTTGTTTTCATTGTCTGAGGTTCTGTCTTCTAGTCTGTTGGTGATGCTTTCTATTGAAGTTTAATTTGGTTTATTGTTTCCTTCATTTTAAGAATTTCTGTTGTTTTTTTTCAGAATCTCTGTATCTTTCTTGAAGTAATTTTTTGCTCTCTGATTTGCTGTCTTATCTTTTTATTGGAGTGATCATTTATTGTTTGTAGTTGCTTATATTTGCTGTCTTTATAATTTTTACTTCACAGATCATTTTAATCATGTACATCCTGAATTCATCTGACATCTCTTCTACTGTGCTCTCAATAGATTCTATTATTGTGGCATCTTGAGTTATCTGGGGCACTTTTTCCCCCACCTTTTTTTTTTTTTGGTGTTTTCCATGTCTCTTCCCCTCTAACAATGCAGATTCAAGGTATTACAGTTTCTACCCTATAATCTTATAGTGTCCCTGCAGGTTTTCAATACCTCAACTTTAAGGGGGAGATGTATGTTAACAGCACCCAATGCAAACAATATGCAGCCTTAAACCAAATGACTCCTATCTAAGATGATTGCAGTTTTGTCACACTAAATAGAAATAACGTGTTCAATTATTATCTGCAATATAAATAGTAGGTTTGCAAGAGGGTCTACAGTTTCTAATGGTGGACAAAGAGAGAGTGGAGGGGGTTGGAGGATGTTTATGAGGTAGGAGGTGAAAATTTAGAGTTGTTAGATCTTAGAAATAGTGAAGGAGGAATAAAAAAATTGCTATAAGCAGGAGAAAAGGGAGATCCTTGTGCAAGGATTTCTCCTGCTTCTGCAACAAGATGCTGGCTATTAGTACACTCAGCAGGGATTCCTCTGGTGTATCCAAACCTGCAGGGACTTTGGTGGTGGTCTTTCAGGGCCTGGTTGTTTTCTCTAGATGGAAGTGGTCATGTCCCCAGTGATGTTGGGCTTCTGGGCCTCAGCCGATGTCACAAGATGGAAGATGTCCCAACTAAAGATGGAAGTGGCATCAGTGGAGGTATGTCCCAAGATGGAGGTGACCACTTTCAGAGATGGAGCTTAAAGGGTGGGCTGTGCGATGGCATTGGGCAGCCTGTTTGGGGATGTAGCTCTGTGGTGTGCAGAGCTTTGGCAGACAGCTGGCTCCAGTCCCTGTCCATTGTCCTGAGGTGGTGGCTACTACATAGGGAAGGCTATGGTGATGGCTGCAGTGTCCCAAGATGGAGGTGGGCTGGGGGAGCCATGTGTTGGTATATGGGGGGACCACAGTGCGGTCATTTCTCCTTATGGTTAGTTGGGTGGTTTTCCGGTAAGGTGGTGGACAGGGTGGTCCTAATTGTCTCTTTTCATAGTTATCAGGCACTCATGTCTAAGAATCCATCTTTTATAGCCTCCAGCTTTATTTACTTTTGGTGAGGCTGACACAAGTGTACATTTAAAATTACGTTAAAACAACGAATGACTTTCCTTTTTAATTCCCACGTATGGCTCTATTTTAGTTATAACTTCTTTTGTTATGTGTTTAGGACCAAGCTGGACAAATTGACCTTGTTCCTATCTATTGTTAAGAGTGAGCTGAGTTTCCTAAGGAGGTTACTCTTGGGAACTTGAGGGCAGCCTCTTAACTTCTCTAGTACCATCTGCCAGGGTAGGTCAGGGTCTTGTTGACCACACAGCACATCTTGGAAGCATCAGGGATTCCCCTCTCTGATGACCCTCCTCTTTGCAACATGTGCATTGGTTTGGCCTTCTGTTCTCCAGGATCTCATCGATCCCCCTGGTTGAAAGTTGCAAAGCTCTCAGAAAAGTCTCCTCATTCCCTGGTTTCAAGCTGATCTCAGAGGGCAAGAGCCAAATATTGGTTATTTTCACTCTTGGCCCTTTTATTTTCTTGACTTTAGTGTCCAAGTTTTTCCTCCAAGTTTTGGTCCTGAATAACCAGCAAGCAAGTTTCACCAGTCTTAAAGAAAGAGTACTGGGTTTTACATTTAATGGGTTTTACATTTAATGTCTATAATGTTACAGTTATTTATTCCTACAATTTAATTGTGGTCAGTATTAGTGCTGGAAGTCAGCCTTATATGCTGTCTGTCCTACGGGGTGATGGCCTCTTATCTCAAATTAACTTAGGTTTTTATATTAGAAACTGTACTTTGGTAAGGCATTAACAGACAATAGTTATAATATTTACAAGAAAAATATGAAATGAAATCAATAATAGTAAAAAAATATTGAGTTTGTATAATAGCTAAGAATCAAGAAACATAATTTTTTATAATCCCAAATTTTTACTTCAAACTTTAGTTTGAAGAACACCATCTTGGTCAATTGACTTCCTAACCCTTATATTTTAAAGATGTGTATACTCAGAACATATGAATACATCTAGTATACAAAGAAGCCAGTAATAGCATCACAATTTCATTGATGTTCTAATATTAACCAAGTTTAGCTTTTAAAGAAAAACTCAGAATCTGTAGTGTAGGGTAATACTATGAAATAACAGTTGTTGTTTAATCAGAGTTGTACAAAACTGAATTCCTTTAAGATTAGTTTCTCTAATAAAGTTTTACAGACACAAGAAATTATCTTGTGGATAAGAGTAGATAAGTGTTTTAAGGCATATTTATTACTCCAACCTATAGAGAATTAAAATTTGGTTTATATCAGCACATTGATATTTGAACTTAGGAAAAAGCTTTAAATAACTTTGATTGATGTGCCAGTTATATATAAGCAATTTGGTTACACACAAACTTTCTGAAATTTACCCTCCACAAATCTTCTGCAATTTACTTAGACATTCTACAACTTTTTACTTTACTACTCAATGAGACTTTCTCAACATTTTTTTCTTCTACTTTCCATATTAAAATATATTTCCACATCTGGAACCTTCTTATATTTCTTTCCTAGCTGTTGAACCCTTTTCTTAATTCACATACAGGAAACAATTCTTATGAAATTTCTGAATTTAGACAAATTACTCCAAATAACTCCATTTAACTAGATGAAATAATTTTTTATGGTACTTTAATTAAAACCCAACCAAAACCTCTTATACTCTTTATATGTAGAATTGTACCTGATAGAATCTTAACTCTTTTTTTTTTTTTATATTTATTTTTGTTCTCGGCGGACACAACATCTTTGTTGGTATGTGGTGCTGAGGATGGAACCCGGGCCGCACGCATGCCAGGCGAGCGCGCTACCACTTGAGCCACAAGAGAATCTTAACTCTTACTAACCTTGATTTTAGTGAAGACACAGAAAGCATTCTCAAACCTTTTTCCACTTACCAATTTATTAAAACACATCTAATGTTTAAATATATTACCTTTTGGAATTTAAGTAGTCAAGAGTACTTCATTTTATATTTAGCAGATGATGTTTTATCACAATAACTTTGCAAATCAATCAGATGTCTCCTCCAACAAGCACATTTGTGAAGATTGGTCCTATTTATATTAAATCTAATTTACTCATTTTAACTGTAAAAACCCAGATACCAGACAAGTACAGTTAACAGTATTAGCCATCTCTTCCCTGTTGAAGAGAAATCCTAGAAGCATGAATATTATATTATAGACCTTTTATGGAAACCAACACTCTGTTAATTGTCTGACCACCTAGAAAAATTTATGAGTTAGTAATTTTAATGACATTTTTACTCTCATCTGTTTACTTAATTTAAATTGAACCCTTTTTAAATTGACATGAAATAAAAGGTATTTGGATCTAGTTCTCATTTAAATTTTAATTTATGATTGCTTCTTTATCCATATGCCAATTTTGATACCATGTACATGGTATATGGACATGAGCACCTATGTAGACACAACAACACAATACACAGGTGTGCACACATACACAAAACAGACAGGAAACAAAAATCTTGTAGCTTTTTGCAGGTAGATCTCCACAGGTAGAAGACAATGCTACAGATGTTTAATAAAACCTCCATTAGATTTAAACTGTTAGAAGTGAAAATAGAGCCTATCAGACTTTTACATTATGGCTTGGACATGGGGCAGGCCTATATAGTTGGAAATGCTAGGTGTGAAGTCTGACAGCCATGGTGAACACTGAAATTAAAGGTTCAGGTGGCCACTTGTCCTCAATAGATATCAGATTTATTGCCAACATCACCATGACTATGTTCTCCTTAGAATTTTGTAAAAGGAGATTTTTCTAATGTGTTTGAGAATGAACCGTTGGAAAATTGGCCTCTGAACAAAACAGAGTATAAAAACCTCTATAATTAAATAAAATAAGACTGAACAGAAAAATATCTTAATTTAGGTGCAAAGGACCACACCTAACTTCACCACAAAACCATGAGCTCCAAAATGTTGAAATTTTAAAAAGAGGAGTTGTAAACATGACACAGCCATAATTACCCTAGTAAAGGAGCATACAGAACATCTTCATCAGATTAGAGTGCACTTTTGGGTCAGATTCAAGTCAGTTCAGATATTTTAAGAATGTCAGAGCCCTGATAAGCTCAGGTTAAGATTTTCAAGGTAAAAAAGACTTATCATATATGAGATCATTCCGTTTTCTTTCCTTCTGTTGTAGTGTTTAGGGAGGAACCTGTTAAGAAAGCAAGAGGTAGAATGTGAAAGCAGATAAGATACCCATCATTTAGGTTCCACAGCAGCTTGAAATTAAAATTGACACCTTTTGTTTTCCTTTGGCCTCAAACTGGTTTTGGGTAATCACCTCTGCAATTTACATGTCAGATGCAAGCCTTGGAGGGATAAAGATCTGGCAGAAGCTATGAAGTAAGAGAAGGTACTGTTCTGAGCTTGAGAAGCAAAACCTCATACAGAGGGCATTTTAACCATGTTTCCTCTGGCAAAATCAGACCCTTATGGTGTGGTGTTATAGTTTATGTTTCCTCAGGAGATCATTTCCCCCCCCCCCATTTTGCAAATCAGGCCAGGCGTGGATACAGAAAATTATGAGGCATAATCTCCCATTAATAGTTTTGAGGATAAGGACTCCCTCTGGACAACAAAATGAAACAAATTCATGAAAGAGAACTCGAGTGTAAGGGTTCTGACTGTGGGAATACACAGGGCAAACTCCCAGGGGTAACAGTCACCCTGTTTCCCATGCATGGAATATTATGCAGTTTTTCCTAGGAACCAATAAGATAACTAATACATGTGCAATGTCTAGCTGCTGTGACAATCCCTGCGTGAGGAGGCTCTATGCTAGAGTCTTATCAGCCTTGACCTTGATCTAAGGCACATAAAGGTATTGGGAGTAAAGGAACTTGCTTGCCAATAACTACAATGTTTCACCAAGCTCTGGTGCTCCTGGACCTGCCCACCTAACAGTAACTTCAGACAGTGGAATTTCTTGAGAACTACACCAAGCTCCTAACATTTCATATCGTAACTGTAGAATGTAACTGTGGAATAAGCAACTTTACTGATACAATAAACAATAATGTAGTAATGGCACTAATGACCTAATGTAACCTATTGGTATAAATAAATGTGACCACTTAGATGAGTAGCTATTTTTCTGCTCTGCATCTTGGTGTTCTCCTTTTATTTCTTTACAAACAAGTGCCAAGGAACTTTCTCTTTGGCTAGGGGATGTCTCCCCAGTATTGTAGCTTCTAGCTCTCGAAGCCTCTCGTGGCCAGCAGCTTTTGCCCCTCTTTCTATGGATGACCTCTGGATTTCACTGCTGTCACACCAGTGTGGTCATAACATCTGTTTTGGGTGGCCATGAAAAAGATGCAAGCTCCCAGATCAGCCACCCTTACCATGTGACTTGCAATCCCTTGGAGAACATGGGACCACTTTTTGTAATGAATCTTGATCTGTCTGTGTTGAACCCACCCTTCGTTAAAATTTGTGAGGAGGAAAATTGGGCCTCATTTAGAAGGGAGGATCATAGCTGAATCTAGTTTATATTTTTGGTGCCATTGGGGCTTTTTAAAACAAGGTCTGAGAAGTCCCTAGGCCTGCACATAGGAACCTTGGACTATTTCCTTCTTTTTTTGCAGAATAGGCTAAGCTGTAGGATGGTATTAAAATCTTTATTTCCCTCTGATGGCCATGATTCTCTGTTGGAGAGTTTGTAATGAGACCATGCTTGGCAGCAGAATAGCATTAGGGGTAAAGGATGGAATAAAGAGTTTAAGCTCACTGTGGCCAAAGGAATCTCCAGAGGGTGAAGAGGACATCTAGTGACTGCTGGATGCTTAATGCCCTTATCCTCAGGGCATCTAAGCCAAAGGTGGGATTGAAAGGCTGTGGGTGCAGATCTCCCTTTTTGCAGTCCACGAAGCTTGTGGGGCACACAGGAGCTCAGAAATAACAATAGAGAATCCCTACAGTCTTGTAGAGCCTTAAGTGTGAACAGAGAGAACCCAGGCATTTCCTTATGAACCACTCCATGGCAAATGTCCTTCTCTCAAGTGCTAGAGTCTGATGGGCAAGGGGAGGGGAGTGCTCAGGAGGAGCAAGCACGGGAGAGAGCAGTAGAGCTCACACAGAGGTGTATGTGTTGCTGGGGCATTTGCTCAGCACTGTTTGATCCACCAGTCGCCATTAAGATTCCACCCTACTAGGGCTGTTGGAACGGGAGGTTGGGGGAGAAACCTTTGAGATTCACTGGGGAGTTGCCCTGTCCAGAATCTCACAGTTGTTTCCACCCTTTGTACCTCTATAGGCATCTAAAGGCAAACTGGGATTAGGGACGCTGTCTAATGACGCCAGACAGCCTCTGAACCTGCATGCACAGTGAGAAATGGCTTCAGCAGAACCCAACATGTGAGACCCACAGTACAGTGATTAGGAGCCACCAAGGCAGTGAATCCTGTCTCCCTAGTCTTGTAGAATGGTGGCTTGCACCAACTGCATTTAATTGGCCGATGGGTGTCCATTATGTCCTCCATAAAGAAAAAAAAAAAAGGGAAAGCTGTGGGTGAGGAGGAGCTGACCTCAGTGGTGATCCTGGATGAGCCCCCATCTGATATTGGTCTTGAAAATTGGGATTGGGTCCTCATTCACCTGTTCTGGAAGAGTAATCATTCAAGAACTGCCGAGGCCATGAAACAAGGTTTATTTAAAGGAGGGAGGAGGGGGAGGGACACTGCTGCAGAGAGGAGGGGTCCAGAGCTGGTACCGGAGAGAGTGGGAGTCGGGTAGTCCTGGCCCTTTATAGGTTTTAGGTTTCGTTTCTTCTCATGCCCCTCCTCCTCTTCCCTTGCCTATGTGGTGACCAAAAGTCAGGAAAGGAGCCACCCAAGGGGTACTCATTCACAACTCCTTGCTGGGAGGAGCAAGTTCCTGGAGGTGAAGGTGACCTTGGTGCCAGGTTTCGAGGAGGCAGAAGTTCTCTGGAGGTATCAGCATTTATTTCCTTTTGAATTAGCCCCCATCTTCCTGACCCAAACATTCATTACCTACACTGACCATCTGTCCCTTGCCTGGTCTCCAAGGCTGGGTCAGGAGGCAGCCATGCTCAGAGTTGTGGCTTTGAGGAGAGAGGGCTCACCAGTCCTCTGGTCTCATTAATCCATTAGCCCATTGATGGGTTTATGACTGGATGAATGACTGGGAAGCGAAGGGAACTGCAGAAGATGGGCCTGAGTTGGAGGAAGTGGGTCACTGGGGGAGTGTCTGGAAGGTCACCTCTTCCCTGTGATCCTTCCTGTCTGCCTCTGCTTCCTGGCCACTGTGAGGCGAGCAGCTCTGCTCCTCCATGTTTTCCCGCCATGATGTTTTGCCTCACTAAAGGCCCAAAGGTATCCGGGCAAATGACCTTGGACTGACACCTTGGAAACTCTGGGTCTACATAAATCTTTCCTCCTTTCATTTAATTTTTTCAGTTATGCTATCACAGCACCAAAAGCTAACACAAGTGGCTTGTATCCTAGTGCCCAGCACACCAACCGCACACAGCAGAGACTCAACAATACTTGCTAATTGTTTAATTAGTGTAATCTGTTGGTTTAGGTGAATTTAGTGGCCCATTTTTTAATCTCTCCCTTTCTCACAGACAGACTTTGGAAGGAGCTCCCATGGAATCCTAAGCAGTCAAGGCCATAAATTCTCTCAGGGATAAACAAAGTCTCCCTGGTGCTGGACAATGGACTTGTTGATAAGAAAAAGAAACTGCAAAGAGGACTTTGGTCCTTGAAAGAGAAACCTAATATCTGTTCCTTCATCTGGAATTTCTGGACCAGCTGTAAGAACCAGCAGACTGAAGAAGGAACCCCGAAGACTCACCAGGACCACAAGGTAAGGTTCCCGGGAGTTCCTCTGAGAGCCTCCACAGAGACCGGGCCACTTCAGGAGAGACCTGGGCCCTAGACAGGACCTGGGAAGTGCCTCTTGGGAGCTGCAGGGAGTCAGGACGCTCCTGTAGGTGAGCAAATCCAGCCTGATGGGACCTCCCAACAACCTGGCCTTGGAAAAGGGGAGCCAGGCCACCTGGGAGGTAACCGAGAGTCAGAACAGATCCCTGAGACTAGTTCCCATCTCTGAAGGGACATTGCGGTCTCCCCCCAGAAGGCTGGAAACCCTGCATCTGCTGGGAGACCCCTTGAGTCCAGCCCTGGGTGCCTTGTGATCAGGATTATTCAGGGCCTGGAGCTGGCGATGCAGGAAAGCCTTTGGACAGACCTCCTGCTGTGCTCCTGATGGTTTCCTGGCAGGAAGCAGAACTGAATGGGTCTTGGGGGCCCCTTACAGGGCTCAGTCTTCTGTGCCCATTGTCAGGTCTTCAGTTGTCTTGTTTGTCACACAT